ACCGTCCAAATATTCGTCAGATAATTTTTCTTTCAAATATAAAAATTTCTCTCTCCTTATTACTACTTGTGAGGTCCAGGTATCTGCTCTGATCCATATGTTAGGACATGCCTTATATCAGTGCGAAATGAAATTGATATTCAAAATTAACACGCGGCCTGCCAGTGGGTTTTTGAATTGTTTATTTTTAATTTTGTTATTTAAATTCAACTATCATTAGAGTGCTATCAAACGGTAGTTTTTCTACTAGCCTTTTCAAGCAATTATTGTAAAAAAAATCGTTAATTAACTATTTATTTAGCTATTAAAAATATCTTCTGAATCTTATTTCTCAATAGGGTTTGGTAGTATCGCAAAGCTGTACTTGATGCTAATTATTAGCACAACTTATTTAATAAGTATTTTATTAACAAAGAATAATAACTTAAAATATTACTTTTCGTTAACTCATAAATAAAAACTCGTAAATACCTATTGCTTTCCATTTAGATCGTAAGATAATTTGATCACCAAATCGATTTAACAAGATGGCCTACAAAAAGCTTGGGGTCTTTGGCCTATATAATCTCGTTATTTTTTCCATTTTGTGGCCAACAGCTCAATATTTTTGAAGGACACCTTTTTTTCTCGATGTTGAGCTCAAATTGTCATACGATTCAAGTGGAGAGCAACTGAGTATTTATGAGTTTTTATACCTAATTAAATAGACAAACTTTGTCGATCTTCAGATTGAAAACGCCTCAATTTCAAGAATTTCCTTAAATAAAATATTTGTAGGTTACGATGAGATGAAGCTGTTTACGAAGTTTCTGACGGATGTTAATAATTTTATATAAAAGGGAAAAAATATTCTCAAAAATCAGAAATGGAAAAAACAATCGACTTTTCAATATTATTATTACGAAGGAAGCAGGGTATGGAAGGGGTGGGGAGGTTAAAGTTGTACTAGATCTTATTATTCGGAAAACCTTGATTGTGGCACCAATAAAAAGGTTGGACCATAAAAAGTTTTAGTTATCTATAACGATTTGTTTTCATAATTATTAGCAACATTTATATTTATGGACTTCCAAAACAGAACAAAACCCTGTCCTGTTGCCTCGACAAATTTATGTCTGAATTAGACTCCTGAAAGCCATTACCGTTCAAAATTGATTTATAGTTCTTTTCCTACTTCATAAATATTTATTACCCTCATCAATTAACCGTTTTCAGCACGGAATTTTTTAAAAGTTTTGCCAGGGGGACGTCTTCGAAAATTTGAGGTATTAATTTGTTTTGAAAATGATGGCCCCTTGGTAATGGGGAGAATGTTGGTGAAGGGTCGATATAGTATGGCTAATATATGATGTATCTATATGTATTCCAGCGGGCCCCTGCCGCATAACAATGTTACCCTGCCCCGGGCCAACCATTAGCATTATGCTAAGCCATTGTCAGGAACCATACCCTGCGTCATCTCTTACATCACTGGCTATGGGAGAGTTCCTCTTGTGCCCGGTGAGGATGTGGGCCTGCAGATTGAGCTTTCTTTATTGTTAAATAATTTTGTGTATTCAAAACATAAATATATTTATTTCCTCGTGCATTGACAGAATGGATGGAATGCTATACCTTCCACCTCATTATATTAACAGCCAGACTATCAGATCATACGCGTCGATCTCAATTGGACGGTGGGAACGCAATTCACTGGGACCGCCATATGTAAAATAGTTACATTCGTTCTCACTTATAGTTTGAATGGTACCTACAGTCGTGGTCATAGAAATTGCATCACCTATTTCTTTAGATTCTTATGTTGATAAAGTTGAATACTTGAAAATGGTCAACATAAATTTGATTGAAGCAGTTCCGAAAATTCCAAAAACACTTCACCGACCAGTTTAAGGGCTAGTGTTGCCCAAAATCGGTCTTGATCTCGCACTTTCAACACCAAGCCCAAGGTCGCCTAACTGCCCAAGACCAAGATCAGGACTGGTAAAAAAAAAATCGATTTTTAATTAAAAATTAAGACAAAATAGTTACTAATACTTGACAATCTTAGTTACTATATGTAAATAATTGGTATAACCACTATAATTTGTATATAAATCCTCTAATTTTTCATACGGGCTTAGTTAGGTTTCTCATATCTAAAAAATTACAGTAATAAGCTAATAAGTAACTGCAAGACTGTATGAGATTCTTGCGCAGTACCAAGACCATGTCCAAGACTGAGTTTGCAAGACCAAGACTAGTCTCGGTCTCGCATTTAGACTACACTTGTTAATGAGTGTGCACAGCCCTACTTGGATCAAAAATAATTACATAAATAATGAGTTCGCATCTCAGTGCCCGGTGGGTGGGAGGACTGCTTTTAACTCTGTCTTTGATAACCCGACATCACTCCACTGCCCGGGAAAACTCCGTATAGTCTAAAAGAGAAGGAATCCCAAAAAAAAATTTCAAAAAAATATGAAAATAATTTTTGAAAAAATTCAATCAGTTTTTTTGTGCATGGATGTGAGTTAGATTTCACGAAAAAAAGCCCTTCTGGGTACGTTACAAAGAGTGTACGGTATTCGCAACACCTTAATGCTATCTAAAATTTGATGGGGCTCACATTGTTGTCCACTGTAGAGAAGTGTCCGTTAAGAGAAGCACGATACATTAAGGCGCACCTCCCCTCTCCTCAACAGCTGATAATGAGCGATTTTCATGTCTCTTGACTAATGAATATGAAGAATTCTTTCTAATGCATTTATTATCGAACACTTCAAGCTTACCTTGATTTTTATGGTGTTTTAGCGATTCTTCAAAGCCGTTTCTAGGCATGATATTAATATTTGAAATTAAATGGGTTTAAAAGAACCCATTATCCATTATATTATCCATTTAACTATATTATCCATTATATTCATTATAATCAGCCTTTCAGTTATCAGTATACTACTTTTGTTGAATTGGCACTCGGACGTTAGAGTGGACTTTGCTGCTAATTAGTTGACAAAGGCCGACTTGAACCTTGGCCAGAGCTGCAAGAGGAAGACAAGAAGTCCTGAGTGAGGCCCGCCCGCTGTCAGTGGGAACCAGCCGGCAGGGACTAGCTCGCTAACAAGTTAATACATTATGAATTAAGGGGAAAGGACTGCGATGGACAGTCCGTCCAAGTCTTCTTCAGCCACCGCTCATTACTCTGGTTTAGTTTCCAATGGCTCTTGCAATTAAGACAGCATGTAATAAATAGATATTTATATTGACCTGATTATTTATAATCATTTCTAATATACTATAGACTCATTTCTAAGAGATAATAGACTATTTTATCGTAAAATTCCGAAAAGACAAAATAAATTGTACGCTTAATTTGTCATGAGAATACTTCAATTTGGTTTCAAATTGGTTCAAAAATTGAACATGACTTGTGACTGCATAACTTGAGTTACCACTGCCTAAATTTATTTCTAAGATGAACTGGTATAATCTAATATATTAATAATAAGGATCGGGTTAAAAACGCTTATAACACAAAACTAACTCTAAGGATAATAAGATGATAGTTAATATTTTCAGTTTATTATTTTCAATAATGAACCATTGTAATCATCAAAAGAATTAAAACCCTAACTACCCTTAAAAATTTGAGGTTTACGTTTCAGGATACGTAGAACTCGAAAATCGAATAAAAACATTTAGTCCGTCCCCCGTTCGCTCATTTTCTTCGAGGCAACCGATTGCTTTTTCTCAAATTTGGAATCAAAGTCAGAGGTCACCCGAGGATAATTCTCCTACCTCGACATTACTATTTGCTCTTTTCTTTCAAGATGGCGGCTGAAAAACTTGTGTTGGTATAGACTGTAGGACCTAAACGAATGTACCAATATCAATAAAACTTGGCTAAAGAATTATCCTCGATGTCCTTTAAATTTAGTATCCATGAAGGGTCTTGGGTTCGGTACTATTTAGAAAAAGTACTGTTTCAAGGACACGGTTTTGCAGAGAGAAGATCGGGTCAGAATCACGCACAACCTCCAGATCTTCTCCCTTAATCAATTATTTTAATTAAGGGTACCCACTTTGTAGAGGCTGGACGTGCCCCCAGGAGATAATACCCCCACGGCCAATGAAATAGAATAAATAATTTTTCTGACATGAGCCGGGATTCGAATCTGATACTTTGAGAATTAGAAACTTAGTACTCTACCACTGAGGTACCCCGCTCCATATTTATATAACATAATTCAACGAAATAATCTGGTAAAAAAAATATGAGGTGTGGTAAAATTAGATTTCCGAATTACGCTTAAAGTATGCACTTTTTTGTTGATATTTTAGTGGTTCTTAAATGTTTACGACATTTCCTAAAATATAAAAATAACCGTTGAAATCGAACAATTTGAGATATGGTGTTTTAAATTTGTTTCATATATTCTAGAGATTTGTTTTGTTTTTCATTGTTTGAAAGTGTTACATCTACTGAATCAATGTTTCCTTTTTTTCCTAGCCAAGTACTAATGATGAAAAGAATATTTAGTCCTATTATTAAAAAAAGACTTAATAGGACTAAGTAATTAGGAATCAACTTTTTTTTTCTTATTTTGCAAAGAAGGTAATGTTACTTTTGATGTATACATAATGGTTTGAAAATAATAAACCAATGTATAATGATTTGCTGCATTTTTTAAAATAGAAATAATATCAGCGTAGGCTAGAAATCTCTTTATTTTATGGTAAGAAGCACATTTTGCAGATTAAGAAATTTTACAAGAGCACACAAACCAAACAAAAAAAAACAAAAACATTGTAGCATATTGAGTGATAGATACTTAGCTAGATACATTGTTTCTCCATGTTGATGATATAATTTGTAACCGAAAGCGGATCCTCTCTAGGAAGCGAGCTGAGGCTGTGGTGTTCCGCAGGGTGTAGTAATGGACAGCTTTCAGCTGAGACAGCTTTCCTGAGGCTCATTAAGTTGAGAACTTGCTTTGTGCTGGATCGCCTTCCAAACCGAGCTGATGGATGTCGTCGCTTTCCTTGTCTCCTCTGTCTTTGATCTGCACAAGAAAGTCCTCTAGTCCTCTAATTTATCTCCTTTATGGTCAGCCCGATCCCTTTTATTCTTCATATAACTGTTCCTTAAATAGATGTCAATGCTTACTTTCTAAAAGTAGTCCTGTAGAGACTTTGTATTCTGCTATTTGAATATAATTATACAATTAGTCTCTGCATCCCCGTTAATGTTTCTTATTATGATTACCATAAATTATTAATAATAAAATCGTTTGTTTGCATATTACATATGATATCGAATTACTTAATAATTTCTCTTTATATTTCAACGAAATCTCGGGCATAATGTACTTAGTTTTGCATTAATTATGGTGTATCACCTGACAACGAATTGTAATAAAAAGCGTTGTTTTTTCCCCTTCAAATGGAGAGTAATAAAAAAAAGTAAAATAAAAAGAGTAATAATTTTTTATCATAAATGTGAGAATGATATTTAGCCTTACCAACACCAAATTCCTATCGTATCGAATCCTTACAATCAAAAATCACCCGTAAAATCCTTAGTGATCCATCCTTTGTCACAAATAAAACCATTCATAAAGACCTTATTGTACCATATGTGGCTGATTTAGCCCGAGCCAGATATCTAACCTTTCATGATAAACTCCAGTCACATCCAAATCCACTTGTTTCCACCCTTGCTCTTCCTCGATCCCTGATAATCCTCCTAGGCGACTGAAAAGAAGATGGCCTCGTGATCTTCTTACCTAGAACTATTTAGGGAGAGCTACCGCTGGGTAGTATCTGTTCAAGCCTGTTCATGTCATTATTTATAATTTGTGCATATTTACTAGCTGTATTTGTATACAGTTGTAAATTTCATTAAATAAACAAAACAAAAACCTTATCAAGAGCAGTTATTAATTATAATAAGTTATTAATATCTTCTATCGATTTTACATAGAAATTCACATTTTTTAAGCAAATCAACATTTTTTAAGTTAGTCAAACATCATCAATTAGACAAAATTTTCTTTAAAAAAAACATGGTTTAGCTATGCTAAAATCCTTTTTTATTTCAGAGATTCCAAAATTAAAATTTTCTGGTTTTCCTTTGTGGAATGTATACAAAGCCATGTGTACTTTTTGTTGATCTTAAAGACTACTATAATTTCAGGCTTTTTACATCTCGATGACCAACATGTACAGAAATTAGTCATGGAGAAATCTTTGTTTGATAGCAAGTTAACAATGAGGAGGGTCAACCCTTAATCCTGGGTCAAACGGCTGTATCTAAATTTGAGAAAATTGTTTCGGGTGTTATAGATGAAATTATTTCTATAACTTTAACTCCACTCTATCTCCTCCAAACTAAAACAAGTCTATGGTTCCCCTACGAATGGAACCACATCATATTATTGTTATAACTTTTTGGAATCAATTAAACTACCCTGATCATTGATTGCTATAATTTATAAAAATTCAAATTTTTTCTGTATGGAAAGAATCAAAATTTTTATCTTTGATAATAATAAAGCTAGAGATGAATTTCGGCCTTTTTCACACACATAGATTGTTCATATGATAGTATCGAAGCAAAGGAAACTTCTTCGTGAGAGTCTTAGTTATGTATATGAACGGCCTTTTCGATTTAAGTTCATCTTTGTGACGGGCCGTGTTTGGGCTCCATACGTGAGAAATGACATGATACGTATTTAAAAAACTTTAGCCTTTAAAGGCAATGAGAAACTTCATCCTGTTATAAATGGCCAATATTTTTTCCCATCGTTTATATTTACGTTTTTTGCAAAAAGCCACCAACTACATTTTTGATGAATCTGAATTTTTAAGAAGGTTTTTGCTAATTTCTACATCATCTATTCAAACAAACAGTAAGTGCACTAAAACGACATAAACCCTTTTATACATCAAATTACAACATAGGAAATTACATCAAAATTCTTTTCTTTTTTATTAAATAAATGTCTTTATTGAATTGAAAGACATGTGATATAGGAAATCACTTACACCATATGTACAATAAATAATGTCAAAATGAAGATTCAATGTTGTAAAATGCAACTTTTCCAATGAATCGAATATTGCATCGAACGTTGGTAAGAATCAATTACATTACCACTTGAAGGATAACTATCTCAAGAAGTCGTTTTAGTAAGACAAGGGTACCACGAAAATATTTTAAGCCAATACGGGTGCCACCGCAAAAAAAAAAAAACTTTGAGAACCGCTACCATAGAGCAACCAGAACACTGCCTACACTAGATTACCGGTAGAGAGAACAGCCCCCGGTGCAGGCTAACGGTACTAGGTAAACAAACTGGAGTCGCTGATGAACATTTAACAGGTTGGGAACGGTTCCCACGCAAGTCACCTCCAGTGTGTATTTACCACGGATATAATGATAGCCGGGCCAGTGCCATCCGTCACTACTACCAACCTCCGCTGGCTAATCTACCCAGGGCTGCCAAATCACCTCCCATTCATGAATATAATATAGATACCTTAGGAGCTAGCCCAGAGGCAACCATCAGCCATACATATTGTAGACAAATTGGTCGGCTCCGTCCAATACTGTAATCAGCGGAACCCTTCGTCTCTGCGGAATTGATACCTATTATTGACCAAGCTCCAACTCAAGTACACATTCCGGATTACCTTAGCTTCTTGAATGCATACTTCTATAAAGTGCAAAAATGTTTTTTCGATTGATCATTTGTTAAATATACTCTCGTCTGAATTTCGTACTATTAGTAAATCCTGGTTGAAACTTACACCCACAATTACACAATACATGTTAAAAGAAATTGGTCTCTTATAAACTTAACTGATGCTTACTCTTTGAGATTTTTCAACTATATGAGACATGTGTATAATACGCATATTAAATATTCAATTTTTTTTTTTTTTTTATATGTCCTTATTCTCTATTTTAAAATTGAGGGAAAAGAGTTTTTTTTTTAATTATCTAAAATTCTCTCTTCTTATTATCTTTCTTTATTTTTTTGTTGTTTGTCTCTAAATATTTTCCCCCTTCAATTAAGGAATTAAAAATTAGTATATTGCCTAAATAATTAAGGATCATGCGATTTCTTATTACAGAACTGTCACTCTAAATACCAAGAGAGAGAGACCAATGTCAGTCGAGTTCAACAAGAAAGCTATTATAGAAATTTATAATATATCTAACTACTTTCATTAGCAATTGACAAAATATTATTAAAATTGTTTCTTTGTATAAAACCTATTCGCTGACATCCAAACAATAATCACCAAATCTAACAAAAGAAAAGGACATCTTTTAGAATCAATAAAAAGTGGTATATTATATCATAATGGAGAAAATCATCAACTTATTTTAAATTGCACAACCGAAATTACGTATTTCTCATTACCGAAGGTATGAAAGCAGTGCAGAGGTCCAAACATTTTTTTGTGCTCTGAATAGAAAATTTTCAATTGTGTTTTACGTTGTTGGTCATTAAGAAAGAACTTTGGTCCAATGCCTGTCTCAGGAGAAATCTATGTGACCTGGGTATCACTGAATTTAACCAACTTCCGTTAATTTGTTTTAGTTAAATTTTTAGGGATTCTTATATTTCAAGAGTTGGTAGTTATATGGCAATTGATTTAAATGAATTTCATCCATTTCTTTAGATTACGAAATCATAAATTTATTTTCTTAGATATGTCTATGCTTCAAAAATGGCTTATTTGACTTGGTACAAATTTGGAAACAATTTGGTAAATAGTATAAATTGTCTAGTATAAATTTCATTGAATTCTATGTTACTTTTAAAATTAATGAGCCGAATTGTTAAAAATATACCTGAAGCCAGTGAAATGTGGTAGGCAGTGAACATATGGAAAGTGAGATAGATAACCTACATAAATATTTATGTAGTTATATGCGGTTATTTGAAATTAAAAAAAATAATTTAAGCTCTTTGGTTTGTGGGACTAAATGTTTGTGAGGCCATTATGGCCGAGCTTGTTGAGGTATTGTCTTTTTAACATTTTCGAGTCTAGCAGCGCTAATTCGAATCCAGCCTAAGCAGGTTGAAATTTGTTTCGTGTTGGACCCACAGAATATATATACCATAGAATATATATATCATCCCACTTTGATTAGAATAGGTTTGTTTGTACCTCAAGAACAACTCCCCAACCCCTTATACCAGAAATGACAGAGGAATAAAGGCTTATCTAAAAGCCCTTCGGCACAGGAACGAGCCGCAAAGTGACCGGAAAAGGCATAAAAACGTTCAAAAACTCTGGAAAACTTAAATTTAATTATTTTTCTCCACATAAAATAAACCTTAAAATATAGTCAATTATGTTACCAATATAAATGGTAAGAAATCTATACTGACACAGCTGGGCAGATTTTTTCTTTTATTCCCTCATAAAATATAGTTCCATATCAAATTTCTAATTTATTAGGTAGGCTGAAACAAATTACTTTTTAGAGAAAGAATTCAATCAAATAGATATAGTTGCATTAATACAAAAGGTTAAATATAAATCTAATAATGTTTTAATGGACCTATTTTAATCTCCATGCAGCAAGGAGATCATTTTAATGTAAGTGGGAAATGTAATGGCAAACTTGGACAAATCCTGTTTCACAGAATTTATTCACCGAGGGACAGTGGTTTGGCCATTATGAAGGTTGGCGGGGAGGGTAAAGTGTATTCAAATGGAGTCAGTTGATTAGATTATCTCCCAGGGGTTCTGATTTGACGTGCATGAATGGCCAAGCTATTCAACATATTCCCCCCACTCCTCCGATAAACTGTACCCATCTCTCATGTTAATATTCAAACCCCTCTTCATGGGTGGTCTTTTAAATCTAAAACATCTTTCATATTTTCCCCCCTTGAGAAAAAAAAAATATAATTCGGCGATGTGGCACATTTGCATGTTAAAATGTTTCGGACCAGCTATAGAGCTTGATAATATCACTGTCAATTTCCTTTTTTTTTTTTTTAGCATATTTGGGAAAAATTATTTTGAATTTTATTTAGAGCACTTTTAAAAACATACCTAGTTTTGCCATAAATACTGTTACAAAAGTTAAACTTTGTTTACATCCTTGGATATTATTTTGAAAGTCTTTATCTCGATCAGGTTATTTTCTTTACATGTCACGTTAATAATCCCAATTATTTTGTACTTTTCTTTCGTTCAGTTAACATGGGATGGGGTGATAAAGAAAAACCGAATAGCCTTACACAAAGTTGGAAAATGTAGTTTACAGATTTTCAACACTTTGGAACCTTTGAGTATCAGCCGTATGTTCGTGTACCGCACTATAGATAGATATAATGAGGCCCTATCTGTATGTAACAGACCTCGACCGGACCATCCTCGTACTGTTAGAACGGCAAATGTAGTGAGAGCAGTGGCTGCTCGAATCAGAAGAAATCCCATTCTAAAACAACATATCATGTTTCGGGAAATGGGAATCTCTGCCAGATCAATGTCTCGCATAGTAAAAAGTGACCTTACGATAGGTGCACTTCGAAGAATGATAGGACAAAGGCTACCACTTCCCCCCAAAAAATTAGAGTGGATAGATGCAAAGTGCTCCTTGGCCGCTATACCAATGGTCTTCATCGAAAGATTTTGTGTAGAGATGAGATAATGTATACAATTGAAGAAAAATTTAATCGCCAAATGATCGTGTGTACGGACACAGGTCTAAAGAAGCCCAGGAAGTCATTGGAAGAGTGGAAAGAGGTTATCAACCTTCCTCAGTGATGGACATTTTGAGAAATTTCTTTTTTATTTTACTCTCTATAGAAATACATTTTATTTTCTAATAAAGTTTTCGATAAAATTAATTTTTCTGTTGAAATCTGTATATATTTCCTTGTAACAATATTTATGACAGGACTAGGTACGGGAGATGTTGCACTGTAAACGAACTAGTGATTTAAGAATGTATTTTCACTATAATTAATAATATTGAATTTAAAATCAAAACAATATAATGATATTGTTTGGAGAAGGCAGCGCAAAGTGGGAAGAGTAAGGGAAAAATCTTTTCTTTTTGTTTTCTATAGAACTTTGATAAAAACAGTGAAAAATGTATATTCTAAACTAAAAATACTGAAGGGAACTACAGGAATTTCACAAGGTATCAATAAAACAGTTTATATAGTTTTAGGAGTTCTAAAATATAGAAGGGTATGGAACTGACCTCCTGTGCCGACCGTGTTCGAGAGTGATTAGGATATTGGGATAGGTAATTATATATTCTGTTACATCAGCTTAGTACCTACCGTGGGTTTAGGGATTATAATATATTTTATTATTTGGGATAAACTCTTAAAAGCAACCTCTAATAAGTGGAAAAAACCGGGCGTTTGAGCGTTATCTCGGCCCATTCACCTCCCAGCACAACCGTTAGCACAATAGTACTTACTTTCTTATTGAGCTCAGTAATATCCTCAATGAGTTTTAGTGGTACTGGTTTTATTTTACTTTATTGCTTTTTATTCATCTTGTTCGTTTCAGCCAGCCATTTTCTCTTTTTACATAATTCTATGTCAACTTTTTACACTACTTTTTGTTATATTTTGTGTAAATATTCTGTAATATATTCGTTATTTAGTAAAAAAGTGATGTTTTGCTCTGTGCTATAAGGAGGATGTTAAAATATGAAAGTTAACATATGAGTTGTTTTCTAGCTATTTGTGTCATGAATCTAAATAAGTGAAAATCAGAATATATCCAATTCGCCGAATTTTTCTCTTTTTATGGAACATTAAAGATGAGATTTATTTTAACCCTGATATTAGCTCACATGGATCGAAACATCTGCTTATGATAGAATCTTCAGTAAGTTTCTAAGTAATTAAAATATTATTTATCTGATCATTTTTTTCTCGGTGAAATTCGGGACGCTTTTAAATATTTGATTTCTTCTCCTTCCACACTTTACCAAATACCCTTATAGTTGATTATTAAATGATATTCTGATAATTCAAGATACAGGTCGAGACAGTACAAACAATTTATAAATTATTTCCGATAATATTAACTAACTAAATTTTAACGTATTAAAATACTGACTGATTATTTTGAAATCCCTTCAACATTTTGAAACGAAGTTGTCATAAAAAAAGAAGAAAAAAACAGTAGATGTATACCTGTAGAAAACTAAACGAAGTCAATAGTGTAGTAATATCACCGGATATGGCTCATCGTTTTCTAGAAGCCTTTCTTCACTGCCAAAAATGCTTGGCTGCGCCATCAAAAGTTTTGAGTAGGCAGATTTCGGAGTGGTTATGAATTATTCTTTTAAGTTTGAGAGAGTGAAAAGTTTTATATACCTTGGGTCTGAAATTAATAGCAAAAATGACATGGCTCAAGAAATACAAAGAAGGATCACGGCAGCCAATAGATGTGTCTTTGGACTTGGCCGACACTTAAGAAGTAGGTACCTCTCAAAGAAGACCAAGCTGATCATATACAAGACCCTTGTTCGGCCTGTTTTGACATATGGCTCAGAGGCTTGGACGATGACTAAAAAGGATGAGATGAAGCTGAGTGTGTTTGAGCGAGGAGTCCTT